GAAAAATTGCAGCCATCTAAGCTGTCAAAAAGAAGTCAGTAAACTTTGTCCTTTGTCTGGCAAACGCACTTCCAAAGACATTTGTCTCTTTCTCCTTCTTTCCTGTGACAGTAGGGGAGGTGTTCCCTCCTAAGGCGAACCCAGAATAGTTGCAAACCAACCATCCACATTGTTCGCATTCCCTGTGGAGCTTGTTTCTACTGGGTAAGTATTGTTTTTGAACTGCTATCTCTACTGCTTTGCCATCCACTAATGCCAATAACTTCTCAATTCTTTGGAATCTAGATTCTGCGCCTATAATTTTGTTGAAATAGCCCTTGATCTACATATAAAAAATCCAAAGTCAAGTTAATCATCAAACCTTATCCCAGTCTAGTTCTCCTCCAGGTTTCTTATTTAATGAAATGATGCTATCATTGTCTTGAACACATCTTAGATGGTTTTCTCTTAATAACTTCACAGTATATCACCCACTAGACCTGTAGATTCAATTTCCTAATATATATTACATTCCACTTTCTCATATATTTTATATATAATATTCAATTTCCTAATATATATATTATATTCCATTTCCTCATATATATTATAGAGTTGACCCTTAAGCAATGTTAGGGTTAGGGTGCTGACCCCTCACACAGTGGAAAATCCATGTATAACTTTTGACTCCCCCAAACTTCACTATTAATAGCCTACTGTTGACTGGAAGCCTTACTGAAAACATACACAGTCAAGTAACACATATTTTATATGTTGTATGCATTATATACTCTATTCTTATAATAAAGTAAGCTAGAGAAAAGAAAATGTTCTAAGAAAATCATAAGGAAGAGAAAATACATTTATAGGATAGGATTGTATTATAAGTGTAGCCATGTAGTACAAAGCCAGGGTGTTCAAGGGTCAGCTGTGTGTAATATTCACTTTCTAAATATATATTTATATATATTTATATGTACTGTTAAATACGTAAATATATAATATTTATGTACTTATGTACTTAACACAGAAACATTGATTTGAAGGGGCACATGCACCCCAATGTTTATAGCAGCATTATTAACAACAGAGAAATTATGATAAGAGCCCAAGTGTCCATCGACTGATGAATGGATAACGAAGATGTGGCATATCTATAAAGTAGAATATTACTTAGCCATCAAAAAGAATGAGATCTTGCCATTTGCAACAACCTGGATGGAGCAAGAGTGTATTATGCTATGTGAAATAAATCAGTCAGAGAAGACAAATACCATATGACTTCACTCAAACATGGAAGAAACAAAACAGATGAACATAGAGGAAGGGAAAAAAAGAGGGAAGTAAACCATAAGAAACTCTCAACTATAGAGAACAATCTGAGGGTTAATGGAAAGAGGTGGGTGGGAGATGTACTAAGTGGGTGATGGGTATGAAGGAGGGCACTTGTTATGACAAGCACTGGGTGTTATATGTAAGTGATGACTCACTAAATTCTACTCCTGAAACCAATATTACACTATATGTTAACTAGCTAGAATTTAAATAAAAATTTGAAGAAAAATAATAAATATATATATATTTTTCCCATATCATTATAAGATATGGGATATATTCATCTGTATTTTCTTCTATACCTTTTTTTACATTTCATCATTTAATCTATCTGAAGTTGTATGTGTGTGTGTTTTGTGTGTATGTATGTTTTAAGAGAGGAATGTAGCCTTTTCTTTTTTACCAACTAGTTAGTCATTCCTTGTAGTCCACTCTTTCAATCATTTATTATGCTCTTACTGATTTGAAATGCCATTTTATTATTTGCTAAATTTATATGTATAAATTAAGGCCAGTTTCTGGGCATGCTTTCTATTTTGTTGATTTTTCTTTCTCTCCTTGAGCCATACCACATTATTTTAATTATCATGCTTATAGTATGTAAGTATGCTTTAACTAATCTTGTTCTCAAGATTTTTCAGTTGTTTTGTTTATTCTTCTGTTCAATCTAAAAAAGTTTGCAACTTTAGAATGGAGTTATATAGTACCTATAAATAATTTGGAGGAAGAAATAACATCTTTAAGAATGGAATTTTCTTTTCCAGAATTTAGTATATATTTCTATTTTATTTGTCTTTTCAAAAAGTCCATCAGGAGAAAAATACACATTATATGGTCATGTAAAATTATTTTATTATTGTATTAGATTTATAGTGCTGGTATTTTATCTATGATAAGTGAAGTTTGGTGCTCTTTTGGGTTTATTTTGAGGGGTATATTCAGCAAAATAAGTTGAGAAGATTTTCATTGTTCTGCTTCTTTGGTACAATTTCTTTTTATTAATTTGCATTATTTAATTATTAATTTTCATGTTCCAGAAGTGGAGCTGGAAGCACATTCCCCCCTGAGATTGTGCATGGTAGATTTCTCTTTACATACATACACAGAGAAGAGGGTAAAGCATGAACATCCTCCTGAGAACTGATGGGAGAAAGTGGGGGCTTGCTAGCCAAAAGGAGAAACTGCTGGTAACTTATTCCTCATCACTCGGTGATTATAGGGCAGTCAGTTGGTAGACTCATTGCAATGGATTCTGCTCCAGGGCAAGCAGAGTTTCCGTAATGGGTCAGTGGGTGCGTTAGGTGGGTAGCCCTGGGCATCCTGTAGGATGTGGGGCTGGGGTTGTGGGGCTGGAGTTCCTAAAGCAAAAATGATCCATCATGAGAAAACCAAACCAAACCCCAAATCTGATCACATAATTGTATTTCAAATAGAGCAGTGATGAAGAAATCCAGATTGCTGCAATGGACGTAAGAGGAACCAGCTTTATATCTGAAGACCCCTGGCATCAACTTCTTTGGCTCTCACTTTGGTGGCTTAGATCGGAGAGTGTTATTTGCTAGAGGAGAGGGATGGTCACAAGGTTGCAGAAGAATTGTCCCAGGAAGTCCTAAAAAAAATTGCACTCCTTCAGGTTTACTTTCCTGAGAGTCATGTGGAGAAATGGTTTCCTTTTAAATGGTGGCTTTGCTCTGTTTTTGTTTTTTCTTAAAGCATTCACTTTTCTTTTCCAATATCAATTCTGTAGTTACATGCCACTTTTTTTTTAACATAAGACTTTTCCACTCCAGGTCAAAATATAACTTATTTGAGGCTAGACCTAACATTCTCAAAGACCTCAGAAAAATAATAGTAACAGTGTCATGGACATCTATATCTTATTTCTTACCTTAAAAGGGAATGCCTTTGGTGTTTGAGATGACTATTCCTTCTCATGATATGGGGTATTTTTATATTATTAATGTTATTATTAGAAATAACTGTTAAAATTTTTCAGATGCTTTGGAACAACAATGGAGTCATATGATTTTTTTCTTTTGTGCATTACAGCAGTCCCCACCTTATCTGAGTGTTTACTATTCATAGTCTCACTTTCCGTGGTTTCAGTTGACCGCAGTCAACTGCGGTCCGGAAGCAGATGATCCTCCTTGGGACACAGCGTCAGAAGGTCAATGGTATCCCAACGCTGTATCGTAGAGCCTGTGTCCTTCGCCTCACTTCATGGCATCCGTAGGCATTTTATCATCTCACATCATCCATCATGAGAAGGGTGAGTACAGTACAATAAGATATTTTGAGAGAGACCACATTCACAGAACTTTTATTACAGTATATTGTTAGAATTTTTCATTTTATTATTGTTGCTATTAATCTCTTGTGCCTAATTTATAAATTAAACTTTCTCATAGGCATATATGTATAGGAAAAATATAGTATATATATGGTCCCATACTGTCTGGGGTTTCGGGCAGCCACTGAGGATCCTGGAAAGTGTCCTCTGCAGATAAGCAGGGATGATTGTATTGAGACGATGTTTTTGAATAAAAATCCTAGGATTTAGCTATCCTTCAATTTTTAGAATAAACCTTATTCAGTTTTGAAAAATTATTTATATAGTATTGGATTTACGTTGTTAATACCTTAGTTAAAGCAAATGAAAATTTTTTTTGCTATGTTGGCTTTGTTTTGAGGGTTATATTAACTTTGATAAATAATTTGGCAAGTGTTTCATCATTCTGTAATCTTGGAACAGTTTAAATAACATGAGAGTTGTTACTTGAACGTTTTCAAAGACTTGCTCATAAAACACTCTGGACCCAACTCCTTTTTTGGAGATAGTTATTTGAACATTAAAAAAAAGTCTTCCATGAGTATCAGTCTATTACAGCTTTCCAGTTCTTACTGAATCCATTTACTTGAAAATTGCACATTTCATTGGATTCTAAGAATTTGTTGCCATAGAGATATAAAGTTTATTTTTATAATTAAAATAATTTGTTTCATATCTATGCTTATATTGCCAAGTATTTGTTTCTCTCTCTCGTTTGCATATTTTAATGCTCTTTGTATAGATGAGATACTGTGTTTATTAATCAATTTACTTATATATCAATTCCACTGTTATTTTCCTGCTGTCTTATTTAATCTCTGCTTTCATTTTGATTATTTTTTCCCTACATTTTTTTTATTTATTTATTTATTTATTTATTTATTTATTTTTAAAGATTTTATTTATTTGTTTGACAGAGAGAGACACAGTGAGAGAAGGAACACAAGCATGGGGAGTGGGAGAGGGAGAAGCAGGCTTCCCGCTGAGCAGGGAGCCGGATGTGGGGCTCGATCCCAGGACCCTGGGATCATGACCTGAGCCGAAGGCAGATGCTTAACGACTGAGCCACCCAGGCGTCACTACATTTTTCTTTTTTAAGTTAATTATTAGTTAATTAATTTATCCCTGCATTTTTCTAAGATTTATTTTTATGTATTCTCTACTACATGTTCTGCATTAGTCTTATTTAAAAATAATTATGGTCAGAGATTTTGTAAATTAGCTTTTTAAAAAATATTCTTTTTAGATTTATCAAAAAGATACATGTTTTTAAAAATCAGAAAATAATTAAGAACTAGATTCAGTAAACCCATTTTCAATGGGTAATAGAAAGAAAATAAGAAAGGAGACACCAATGTTTAATATGCCATGCAGTTATCACATTGGGGTTGTTTGGTCTTTATTAAAGTTTCAGTTTGCATATAGGAAAAGTTTCACAAGATTAAATCATGAGATCCAAATACACTCAGGGTTTTGACTAAATTGATGTAATTATTACTAACATTGCCTGTTTGAGGCAACTGTGACATTATTGCAATAGGGAACAATCCATCACATTTCCTTCAGACTTGCCCTGTGGCCTGGGCTCATTTTCTCAGACACCTGCAGGACTCAATACTCGAATGCCTTGCTCTACATCTGCCCCTTTGACTTTCACATATTTCTTAACAAGAAACACAATAGGGTTTTATTCTTCCTCAATTAAATGGAATTACAATGGCAAAAAGTGAAATCCAATGACCAACTTTAGTTTTAAAAACTAGAAGAGGAAAAAAAAGATGTTATTATCAATAATGAATTTGGAAAGAATTCTTTAAAACATAATGAGGGCAAGTTATTTGGGATATAACTGTATTCTATCCTTATATATGTTTCTCTATAAAGGTGCCGAGGTGAATTCCACTGCTTTCTTGGATGCTTCCTCTCCTGCACTGCCAATGCCCAGGGGGTAACCAGTCTTCAATGATGGCTCAATCCAACTCTTTCATTTAGACTTAGATCTCATTCCAATTTAGGCTTCTCTTTCTCTTCTTCCATACCTAGAAATTCAGGCAAAGTACTTTAACATCAGATTAAACTGTGAGCAGGTTTGCCAAGGTTGCTCAAAAAAACTCTCTCCTGTTCCCATATCTCTCCCCTTCTACTCTCCTGCACCCACCTCTTTCCTCCTAGCTTAGAAGGAAAATCTTTTACCATTTTCTCCAGAAACTTCCTCAGTGACCTCTGTCTCTACCCTTTCCCCCCAAATCAGGACACACCCAGGTCTTACAACTTCTGGGAGTGATGGGTGCAAGTTAGTTCTTGACTCACTGAGTTTGTACAGAAACCCTAACCAGACCACTTTGTAACCAGCTTCGAGCAACAGGAGGTATGCCGCCAATGAGTCTCAAACAGACCTCATTTATTTTTATTTTAGTCGTGTTTCTTCTCAAGGCAAGGACTCTGGATTTTCAAAAGTCAAGAATTTTTTTTAAACTCATAGAGAGCTTATTAGGTACAAGAACGATTTATGTCCATACCTTTGTGTTCTTAAACTCAAATTCTCCTTCTATTCAACCCAGTCCTGGTAGAACTATGTTTTACCTCCTGAGAGACTCATATGTACTGGACCAGTAAGAGCTTTGCCTATTGTCTGGCGTGAATAGTTAATGATGTTTCATTTTCCTGGAGATGAAAATGTTGAAGTCATTCTCATGAATTAAAGTTAAATCTGGTAAATGCTTCCCACTTCTTTCTTTTGCTTCTTGCTAAATACTCATCCTCTGAAACCAAATCCTCAGAGACTTTTGCTGGAACAAAAGAACCCCAAATATTGCTTTGCAGGTTTTGTTGGTATTCAAGTTATAAGCTCTCTGAAGGCAGACTCCTTAACTGGTTTGTTCCTGATAATATCCTTAGCGCCCAACACAGTGTTGACTCATAGCTGGAGCTCAATTAATCTTTACTAAATCAGTTAATAAGGAAAGCCTCAGAAGGCTACGCTAGTGGGAAAGCAAAATAAAATATGGAACTTCACAATATAAAAAAAAAATTTAAAGCCTAATCCCAGAAGGTCATCATCATAGGGCTTATATTAAGAAGGACTCCCCTTTCCCCCAGGTCCCAACTCCCAGTATCTGTTCTGTGGGATCAGGGTAGTAGTGGTGGAATGCGGCTAACATGCTTCGAACAGGTATCCTTAGACATTCTTTCACGTTTGGTTTTCATGACTAAGGAACTGGCAGAGATCTGTAACACTTTTTCCAAAGTACTTCCCAGAAATCATATTAAGGAAAACTTCAGATTGAGGATTAAGGACATCTGAAGGGAGGAAGAATAGGGTTAAGGGGGAGAAGGCCAGGAGATGCCTTAGTTGTTGGTAACCAAGGCAAAGGCAGAAAAACACAACAAGGATTCTGTTCAAACAGCACACATGACTTGGGACCCAACTTTGTCCCATGTTCCCTCTCCTGTGGAGAAGCTCTCAGGAACTCATAACTGCTTGCTTTTCTTTAAAGTCTGTTTCCTCCTAAGTGTTCTCCTGCAGATGGGTTGACTTGGCAGCAATAGTGGAATCTTCAAAAGAGGGGGTGGAGAACAGGGGGTGTTCATTGACCCAGACAGGAAAAATGGCTCCCCACCTACTTTAGTTTGGCAGCTTTGAGGAAGAGGGAAAAAATTAGACAGCTGTAAATAATATTTGGAAGAACCAGAGGTATAATTTCCACACATAGAAGAAAGAAACCTGTCACAAAGCTGAGGCAGGATGTGCTTTTGGGAACATAGAGGAAGAGTTGATTGATCCTGAGAGAGTTAGTCACATCTGATTCCCCCAGGCAGGGAGAAAGGCTCAACCAGAGGGCAGCACTGGAACACTGAAGGCCTGAGTAGGCCTGTGTGGGACATGAACTGGATGGGCAGCTGGGGGAGAAGGTTTCTGTCATATAGGCTTGGCTCCAAACTCCTTTCTCTTTTGCTTGCTTTCCCTGTCCTCACCCCAACCTTTCACTTTTGGACACTTTCATTTCTGGTCGTATAAAGTTTTACTGTAATAAGATTGGTCACCCCAGTTAGACACAATGGAATTGGAATAAATTCTTAGATTAAGTGCAGAAATATTTCGGCAGTTATAGGTTGAATTGTGTGCCCCCCTGCACTGTACCCCCAAATTCATGTGTTGAAGTCCTAACTTCAGAACCACAGAATGTGAGAGAAGGCCAAGGGTGTGGCTGGACAACTGTGTGCTAAAGAGATTAGGCATGTCATTCATGGATCCAATTAACCATTTCAGCAGAAACCAGAAAAGATCTGTGGGGGACCTTCTTGTATGATGATTTGGGCCCCTGTGAACTGCATGGGAAGCCAATAAGGTTTTTGAGAATTTAGTACCAGCAGAAACACTGCTAGCCTGGACTGAAAGGGACAGAGACAGCATGAAATGAAGAAAGAATGACTCCTAAGGTGGTTCAGGGGCTACCTTCCTCCAGGGGTAAGGCTGCCACCCAGGCTCAGGGCCACAACCACCTTCTGGTGAGCCCTGAGGATGGAGCATTTAGCGAAAGAGGATCATTCTCAAGCCTTTAAATCTAATAGAATTTGCCCTGCTATGTTTCAGACATGGTTGAGAACTGTGGCCCCTTTTTCAAACCCTGTGATTTCTCCTTTTTGGAAAGGATATGTGTATTCTATGCCTGTCCCACCATTGTGTTTTGGAAGCAGATAACCTTCTGTATGGCTTCACAGGTTCACAATTGGAAAGCGATTGTGTTTCAAGATGCATCATCCCCCAAGTCTTAACCATACCTGATTTAGATGATATTTAAGATGAGATTTTGGATCTAAGAGTTGATGTTGGAAAGACTTTTGGGGCTGTTGGGGTTGTATTTTGCATGAATGAAAGACATGAGTGAAGCAGAGTGTTATGGGTGGAACTGTGTCTCTCCTCAGAATGTGATTGTATTTGGAGATAGGGTCTTTACCAAGTTAAAACGAAGTTATCAGGGTGGACCCTAATCAAATATGACTGTTGTCTTTAAAAAAGGGGACTTTTGGAGACAGCCTCACAAATAGGGACAAATGCCATGTGAACATGAAGACAGCCATCTACCAGCCAAGGAGAGAGGCCTGGAACAGATCCTTCCCTCACAGTCCTCAGGAACCAATCCTGCCAATACCTTAATCTTGGTCTTCTGGCCTCCAGAACCATGAGACATTACATTTTGATTGTTTAAGCCCCCCAGGCTGTGGTATTTTGCTGTAGCAGCCCTAGCAAACCAATACAACAGTCACAAAGCCACCTTGAGTTATTTTCCTTTAAAAAGAGCAAATGCCTAACTACTAATTTACCTTATTTTAAGGGCTTTTTGTTCAGAGTTCATATCAGGTTGGTCTATTTTGTTATCTTATAAACTAGGTCCACGGATCTTAGTGAAGTTTCTAACCTCTCATGTGCCTGGGTTTTCAGTGGTGACAAACTGATGGCTCACTAGAAGTAACACTGGATTGAACATTACCCAGAAGGTGTTGGCTCTGCAACCACCATTTTGGTAGGCCACCGAGGATTTCCTCGCTCAGCTGCTGCTTCGTAAAAAGAAAGGGCCAGCTTAGATGGTTTCTAATATCCTTTTCAATTCTAAGATTCTATAATAATGTGATTTTATCTCAAAGTTGAAGTCAGTATAACCTAACCAAGTGGAGGAAGTGGGGCCATTAAAAATCATTTTGGATAGAAGGAAGGGTGCTCAGTGTGGTATCCCTGCTTCTTGGGGGATTTTGTTTAGGGTGTAGTAAATGTACTCAGGATTGTAATACTGTACTTGATTGTATTCAATTCACTGTGCGTGCGCACACACACACACACACACACACACATACACGGTACAAACTGCTTTTAACCAGTAGTTTCAAATTTAACTCCCTACAGAAGCAGGCAGCTAATGTGATGGAGCAAAGTGACCAGGTGAGAACTAGGAACACTTAGGGAGTCATCTCAAGGGGGCAACTGATTCTCAGTTCCAATCCATTGTTGCCAGAAGAGAATAGTGAGCTCGGGATTGCTAGATCCTAAAGTATTTGATAAGCTGATGAATCTGGCCCCTTTGTGTAATCTCCCAATTTTTAAATATTGTTTCAAAAACAAAAAATCCCACTATGTAGGTCTAACAAGCCACTTGGCAGGTCAGATTTGGAGGAGGCCATCAGTTTGCAATCCTTCTCATAAATGAAAAGCAAAATGTGCCTACTTGACATAAAACATCTGCTTCTGTGAAATTAACTAGATGGTCCCATGTAGATAAAATTAATCTCCATACCTAAAATGCGTTATGAAATGTTAGTCAACCTTATGTAAGAGAATGGCACAAATTAAATTGAACAGATCATTTAAAAAACCCTTAGTTTCAGTATTCATTTTAACTTCTCACTCAAAGCTGCTAAAGAGCATTATTCTATGAATCCACAATGGATTTTTCTCTCTCTTGGTTTTCAGGCCATCTTCTCTTTGAAGTAGTAGAACAACGGCCAAATGACCATTGGAATCAAGCTAATCAAGGGGAAGAGTCATAAATACTTCCTGAATAACAAATATTAAACATATTAGCCTAAATTTAAATATGGCCTTTCCCCCAAGAAGCTGAGAAAAGTTTACATTTTGCTCTTAAGATATTTTTGTAAGTTAGCTAAATAATGAGTTAACTAATAAAGGTTCCTATTCCCATTGGACAGAGAAAGAACTATTAAAAGATTAATTTCTGGTTTTCCAAGTTGTGGCCTGAACTGAATAGAAACTTTTGAGACTTTTTCTAGTAGACCACTTATTAGAATCAAGTCAGCTGCTGAGAAAAGAAATCCTCAAATTCCTCCGGGCCATTTACCATGGGCCAACACCTCAGCACACACAATCTTAGAAGATCCACTCACAAAAAAGTCCAATCCAGGAACCTTGCAATGACTGTGTTTTATTTGTCTAATTAGATCAAGTTCCTGGCACTGTGTCTGACACAAAGTAGGGCGTTCCATGTTTGTGGAACAGAGATCATTTACGGGTGACGTCTAGAATGTCGTGATTATATTGGCGATGCCCAGAGCTCTCTAAAATTCCCGGACCATCTTGCCTTTGGATATACTTTCATGCAGGACTCAAACGGCTATATGTTTTTTCCACCTTCCCATTTTTCTGCTAACTGACATACAATTTGGATAGGGTATGCACAGCTTGGGTAAGATTATGGGCCTTGCCAAGATGGAGGCTCTGCCATAAATGGAGACAAAAGAGAAATCAAATCATAGGTTAAGAGAGTTTGGCAGCAATGAAGTATCCCCCTTTACTGCCCATGTCTCTTTGCCACCTTCAGTCCTTGAATATGACAGTCACTGGTGAATCACAGTGGCTACAGGCATTCCGCGCGGCTTGCGATTTCTAGCAGAAAAGTGTGGAGACCTCTCTGAAGCTACTGCACTCACACAAAGGACGATGTAAGAAGTGGAGGTCTGGGTGGTTTTTGATGGGACTGTTTGGTTACATTTAATAATTTATCTATTTATTAGGGGGGGTCCCTTTAGCTAAGGCAGTATTTTGCTGATTAGAGTGAACTTCCTAAATTTTGTTGTTGTTGTTGTTAACACTACATTTCTCCCTATCAAATTTTATAGACATGCTTCTTTCCCCTTAGATTTGGATGTTTTACTAGCTAGTCAGACAAAGTGAGGAATGAACCTTTCAGGTAATGCCAGCAGCCCTCAAATTAACACTGGGTAGTTAAAAAAATGAAACTCTTCCTAAGTGACCCTATGCTATGATGGAATTTTCCTTCGGGCTCTTCACACACTCTTCTAAACAGCAATTCTCCTGTTTTATGCTCCCCTAAACAATACTTACTTCTCTGTGTATCCCAGATATAGCTGTTCAGAACTTCTCCCAGCAGGTACAAGAAGTTCATTAAGATGGTTGTAGACCCAAAGAAGACGATTCTGGCTCCTGAGCCAATGTGTTCCAGGAAAGGGTACACCCACATCCCAGTTACATGATGCACCCAACATACCCTGCAATAGAATTGGAAAGGAGACAAAGACAGGAGTTCTTCTCATGTCAGATTTCAAAGCTCCTCCTACTGTGAATATAGACACCCCCCCATTCCAACCGTTCTGTAGCAATGTCAGTCACAAGTTTGCTTCCAACACCCAGGAGCTATCAGAAACTTTGTTGTTGTTTGTTTGTTTTCTTTTACTTTCTTTAAGATTTAGTTATTTATCTGAGAGAGAGAATGTGTGCACACACAGGTGCAGGGGGGAGGGGCAGAGGGAGAAAATCTCAAGCAGACTCCACCCAGAGCACAAAGCCCCATGTGGGGCTCGATCTCACGACCCTGAGATCATGACCTGAGTGGAAATTAAAAGTGGGACACTTAACAGACTGAGCCACCCAGGAGCCCCTGTTTTATTTTTTATTCTAAAATAATTTTAGACTCACAGAAGAGTTGCACATGTGGTACAGAGTTCCGGTAAGCCCTTCACCTCAGCATCCCTGAATGTTAACATCTTTAACAATCACAGTACAATTACAATTAGTAAGGTGCCACTGACATTGGTCCAACACTACTAACTGGACTGCAGACTTTATTCAGAATTTCCGTTTCCTCATGAATACCCCTTTTCTGGTTCAGGATCCAACAATGTCCCTGGTGGTCACATCTTCTTAGTCTCCTCCAGTCTGGCAGTTCTTTGGCTTCTCCTTGTTTTTCATGACACTTGATGGGTTCTTATCAGGTATTTGAATCTGTTGTTTTTCTCAATACTGTTATACAATCTTCATTTCTTGCTTACATACGGAAACAATATAGCATCAGGCAAGCACACTGTAATTAAATCTAGGTGAGTATGTCCCAGGCTTCTTGCCATACTGCCTTCCAATTGGATAACAGTGTGTACTCAGCAGTGTACTCAGTGTAGACTGCAGTGTGTACCTGCTGATGGAGCCATCCTGTAACCTCACCAATACCTGGCTTCCCACCACCTAGATCTTTGGATCCTGTATTTGTCTCTTTTCTTTTTTTCTCTATTTCACACATACAATGGAATATTACTCAGCCTCCAGAAAGGATGAATACTTACCATTTACATCGATGTGGATGGAACTGGAGGGTGTTATGCTGAACGAAATAAGTCAATCAGAGAAAGATAATTATCATGTGGTTTCACTCATGTGGACTATAAGAAATAGCACAGAGGATCATAGGGGAAGGGAAAGAAAAGTGAATGGGAAGAAATCAGAGAGGGAGACAAACCATGAGGGACTCTTGACTCTGGGAAACAAACTCAGGGTTGTGGAAGGGGAAGTGGGTGGTGGATGGGGTAACTGGGTGACGGGCATTAGGGAAAGCATGTGATGTGATGAGCATTGGGTGTTATACACAACTGATGAATCATTGAACTCTACATCAGAAACTAATGATGTACTATATGTTGGCTAATTGAATTTAAATAAGAAAATACTTGCTTGTAATTGTTCTATTTGTGTTCAGGAGATATTTTAGGCTCAGTGGGGATACAACATCATTAATCTCCACTGTTTTCCGAAGTTTAATTAGAATATTTGCTTCATTGATTGGTCCTGACACAACTTCTAAGAGCAATTTTCCAAAACATTCTTGGGCTCATCACTTTATCAACTCTTGTCAATGTTGAAGACTAATGAAAATACAAATAACATTAAGGAACAAAGATTACTTTTTATACTTATGTGTTTTGGGGTCATCTTCCTGGTAATCCTTGGCTTCAATTTTTGTGACGCAGTTTTTACTACACATCTGTCACCTACATATTTACCTCATCAAGGCAGGAAACCTGGGCATCTTTCCCTTAGAGCTTGCAGTCTCAGTGAGGGTGGTATCACTCTTGCTCAAGGAGGTGAAAATTGGTTCTGAAGATTTCTGAAGAAATCTTACTCTTCTTACGTGTAAAGCACAGAGGCATATATACAAAGAGCATAAAGCAGATACACAGTTTATCTGTGTTCTTAAAATTTCACGGACCCCAGCAATTTCATGCCTAGGTATACAGCCAAAAGAATTGAAGGCAGGAACACAAACAGATATTTGTATACAGATGTTCATAGCAGCATTATTCACAATAACCCAAAAGGTGGAAACAACCCAAATGTCCATCTAGGATTAATGGATACACAAAATTGGTTGATTCATACAATGGAATATGATTCAGCCATGAAGAGGAATGAAATTTTGATACCTGCTGCAACATGGATGGATTGAAAACATTGTACTAAGTGAAATAAGCCAAACACAGAAAGATAAATATTGTATGATTCCACCTATATGAGATACTAGAATAGGCAAATTCATAGAGATGGAAAGTCTAATAAAAGTTACCAGGGGCTGGCGGGAGTGGGGAATAAGGAGTTAAGGTATAATGAGTACAGAGTTTATGTTGGGGATAAGGAAAATGTTTTGGATAAAGATAGTGGTGATGGTTATATAACACTGTGAATGTATTTCATGACACCGAGTTGTACACTTATAAAGGGTTAAAATGATAAATATGTTATGTATATCTTACCACAATAAAACATTTTTATGGGTTGGAGGTTAGGAAAAAATTACCTAAAAAGTTTCCTTGGTGGAGGGCTCAGTAATGAAAGAAAGGTGGAAAATGCTGTCTTAGTGCGAAGAGATGCTCATTAGGTCCATCTGGGTCAGCTTGAATAACTGTTCAAACTAAGAGCTTTTTACCAAAAGAGGAAGCAGAGCTAGTTGAGATTTTTCTTTCTTAAAAAGGCTGAAGGATTTGTGAGAATCAGCAGAAATTAAATTGTTAGCACTACCCTGTGGGGTTCTGATGCATCATATTCTGTTTGTCCATAAATTAGAGGCAGTTTTATCTTCCTAATCTTTTCTTCACTAGTGTAAGGAGTATTGTGTGCTCATCAAGTGGCTTATTAATTTCCATTGAGATAATAGGCAATATCTCCAAAATGTAATACCATAAAGCTATAACTGATTTTGCAAATCAACTTACAAAATTATAATCTGACTCACTGTAAAACTGTTTCCTCAATTAGGCAAATTAGGAGCCATTCAAATTATGAATGCTAGTTATATTTTTTTCTACCTGTTCCTGGCTTTCTACTTCTTTCTGGTAGAGACCTTTTGGTAAGGTCTCTAATGCAAGCCTGTACTCCTCTGGCATTGTTTGTGATGCACTGTTGGTTTGTATGCAACCATCTCATACTACTGAATAGATATAACAACCACAACCACATCCCATCTATCTACAGATGGCTCCTAAATTTATATCTCCAGTCTTGACCTCTTTCTGATCTCCAAAGTTCTATACCCTGGTGCCCACTGCATGTCTCCCATGGGAGGATGCATCTCCAACCTGACACTTCCATGATGTCATCATCATCCTTGCATCCTAATTCCTGCATGACTCTCCCCTCTCCTCCCATCTAACAGAGGACATGCATCTCCACATCTTTCCCTTCTCACACCAGTGATCGCTATGTTACTGCAGCAGTAGCTTGGGGCAGAAAATGTGGTGTCATTTTGACTTTCCTTTACGCACAACTCACACTCAACCCATGCTTAGATCCCATTGGCTCTATTTTCCAGATATACCTAAGACATCTATTTGTCACCACTGCCACCACTACTCTCTGGGTTCAAACCATCATCACCTCTCACTGGAACCCCTGCAAGAGTTTCCTGTGGCTTTGCTTTTACATTTGCTATAGTCTTATCAACAGGCTATTCTCATTAGAGTGGCCAGACTGATCCGGATTAAATGGAAATCAGGTCGTGCCACTATTTTGTTCAAAACTCTTGCTTCTCCTCTGGTTAGGGTAAGAGCCAGAGACCCCCGGTGGTTCTTCAAGGCCCTACCTAGGCTTGCTGGGCACTTTTCTTACTTTTCTTCTCCTCTTCTCCCTCTTGCTCATCCACTCCAGCCACATTGACTCTTTGACCTTCCTTAAGAACACTGAACACTCTATATTTGTTTCCGTGCCTGGAACATTTCTCCTTACCCCCATCTCCCCTACAATATTCCCAGCGCTCCCTTGTGTCCTTCGGGATTTTGCGTAAATGACACTGTCTCAATTAGATCTTCCCAGGCCACTGCATCTAAAAGTTGCAACCTTTATTCTGAAAATTCCTCTTCTCCATCCCTTTATTTTTTCTCCCCAGCCAGTTAATATACTGTATTTATTTTTTACTAATCTGTTTATTGTGTGTCCAACAAGCACAGGCATTTTTTTTTTTTACCTATTGGGTTCATAGCTAGATTCTGTGGCCCTTGGAGCAGTGTCTGGCACACAGGTTGTGCTCAATAATTGTTTGTTGAACTAATAACTCAATAAAGAAATATCAAAAACAATAGCATCGGGCGCCTGGGTGGCTCAGTTGGTTAAGCGACTGCCTTCGGCTCAGGTCATGATCCTGGAGTCCAGGGATCGAGTCCCGCATCGGGCTCCCTGCTCAGCAAGGACCCTGCTTCTCCCTCTAACCCAACCCCCTCTCATGTACTCTCATTCTCGCTCTCTCAAATAAATAAATAAATCTTTATAAAAACAAACAAACAAAACAACAACAACAACAAAAACAATAGCATCTGTTTATTAAGCCTTTACTATGTGACGGGCACTTTGCCAATAACTTAAAAAAAATAAAAAAAAAATTCTCAACCCCACCCTCTTCTCCAATCCCTATGCCCTTTTCTGTAGAGAACCAGAGAGTAAATATTCTCAGTTTTGTAGGCCATACGATCTCTGTCACAACTGTCAACTTTGCCATTTAGTGCAAAAGTAGCTGTAGATAATATGTAGACAAAAGAGTGTGGTTGTGTTCCAATAAAACAGTGGAAATGTAAAATTCTCAAGGGAGGGAGGTGGATAGTTATTCTGAGTATGGTGCTTTCCTAGCATATGTAATCCCCTTCACCTTATTCAACCACCCTATGAGGCATTAATTATCCACATTTCATAGACAACGGAGCTGAGACTGGACTAAAGAACTTGCCTAAAAAAATAG